ACAGGTAACTTACAGTAGGGTTGTAAGTAGTCTTTTACTTTGGATTTCTTTTTCTTGTTTATTTGGGTAAGAAAATGTTTATAGTTATGTTGGCCACCTTTTTTATCTGAATGTGTGCCTGTGCCAGTCCTGTTTCTTCTGTTAAAAAAAACCCCCAAACCTGCAGTGGTAGTGTAACACACTGGCCAGGTGTTACATCTTCTTGCATATGATTGACTAGAGGATAATAGTTTGCTGATTTTTGCTAGCTAAAGGAGTTATTGCTTTAACTTGGTGCTACTCAGATGTGACTCTCAAGCCACAAGTGGCTCTTCAACTTCTCACCTGGAGCTCTTTGCAGAAAATATGAGTTGTTTTGTTTTGTTTGGTTGTTACTGCATGCATTAGGCTTGTATTTCCTGCAATCTCAAGTAATGTCAGACATTAACTAAGATTGCTGTATTTTTTTTCTTTTCAACTGCCACGTTTGCCACAAGTCATCTAGGGGTGCAGAAGTTGTTATGGCCCTTTGGTTAACGCTGACTTGTGGTTTTTTCAGCCAGTCAGGACTGAATGCCTGTAACTCAAACAGAAGATGTCTGTGCTATGGTGCTGGAAATTTTCCTTGAAATCCAGTTGACAAATAAGCTTGGGGCTAGTGGGGAGGGAGCATGTATCTGAGTAGTAATGGTAAGATAGACAAGATGCCAGCTGATCTTATTAACACTCACTTGTTGCTGACTTGACCTTGAAAAATCTTTGTTTTAATAGTCTGAAGGCTTAGTAGTAATAAGGATGCCAGCTGACTGCCTTTTTCCTTGATTATAGGTGGCTTGCATTATGCATGCTTTTAAAATAACTATCTTGTATGAAAACTGGTGCAAACACATGCACACATTACTTTCGCCTTCAAATTGATTGCTATTTTGCCACTACAGTCAGTCCTCTGAGACGTTGAGGATGAGGGGTAGAGCCTGGAAGGAAGAGTAGGAGGGAGAATCATGGCGATCCTACTGAACTGCATGCCTTGTTCCTTCCACTCAATCATTTCTGTTCAGATGTGACTTGAACAAAATTTACTGTAACTTTTTGTGTTTCTTTCCTGAGTGATTTTTTTTTTTTTTTTTTTGCTCACTCTCTTCCACATGTAGTCTTCAGAAGGTCTGCATTGCAGTAATTGGAAAGGGTTGTTATTAGGAGGGAAAACCAAGCTGTGGTAAAACTCCCCTCTTACAGTTGTGACCTGAACTCTGGGTTGTGGAGTAGGAGATAATGAATTGATGCCTCCAGGTTCAAAGTTTTGAGGTTTGGCTGTCGACCAAAAAGAACCTGAATATGTCTCTGAAGCATTGCTAATGTGTGCATGCCATGCAGAATATTTATTCAAGATATTGATGCAACAGATTTCCATTGATATGAAACTTTCATACTTTATGTTTAACAATACTTTGTTTTTTAATTCTCTGTGCTCAGACAGTGGATAACAAGGTAAAGTACTTCTTGTGTACAATTTTTATAATGGTGATGGAAGCAATTTATTATACCTTTTTATTATAGAACACTATATTTTACTTTTAATCGGTTTGTATTAGCAACAGAATGGATTGTAGCCCATTTAAAGTATTAGAAAATGTAGGGAACTTATGATAGTGAACTTTATCTTTGACAGCTATTGCTAGTTATCTTCCATGTACCCTAAAATGTTTTATTTTAATCATTTTTATTTTCATTATCCAAGTGTACTTGGACTTCACAGTTGAATATAATGTAATACTTTCTGTTATTTTACTAAGTACATGATAATGAATGATTCTCATAAAGTCTGGAAACATTTTTTAAATCTTCAAAGTCAGTGAGCGGGTCTCTAAATTTTCTAGCTAGATTATTTTTTTGTTTACTTGCTTTTATGTTTAAGTATGTATAGCTATCTGTGGGCATGTTTACATGTCACCGTATGGCAGCGTTGCTCCAGTGCCATGCTTTAGTACTTTTGGAAGTACTAAAACTTGGTACGGTACAAGTGGTTACTGTGCTGTGCGTGAGGTGCATGGTTAAATTTTGCTGCTACATTGCCGTAGCTGTGCACTATACCCGGAGAGTGTGTTGCTCTGGCTGTGTAGCTGGTGGTCACATGTAGACGCACATGATCTCTACATTGCTGTAGCATGCTGTACGGCGACGTGTAGATGCGCCCTGTGCGTCTGACAGCACTACCACAGAATGCTGCTGCATAGCTCAAAGTGCTGATAATGGGAGTGTTCAAACTTGGAGGGTTCAATCTTTACATAAATAAATTAGAGAAAGAAACAAAAACCCTGTGTTAAATTTATAGTGATGCACCTGAGAA